AAAAATCCGAAAAATCAATCCGAAAAGCGAAAAGGACAACCAAATTAGCGAAAAGTTTCAAAATTTTGCACAAAATATTTATTTTCCCTTTATAAAAAAGCGACGAAATCCACAAAAATATGTAAAAAAAGCCAAAAAATCACCAAATATTTAAAATAATATTAATAAAACAAGGTAATAATTGCAAAAATATTCGATAAAATATATAGAAATAATTATTTTTGCAACTATTTTTATTAAAAACGGCAAAAAAATTACTATTTTTATGTCCAAATACAATAAAAATAATAATTTTTACAAACCGAATAAAAATTCTATATATGCGGACTGTAGGGTACACGATAAATTAAAATGTCCAAAATTACCTTAAAATGTGATTATACACACGCCACAATACAATAATCAAAAAATATTTTCCTTTGTTCCCAACGTGTTGACCAGTCACTATTGACCAACCCGATTAGTGTAGGGTACACGCAAACAAAAGAAAAAAAGAAAAAATAAAAAGATCAATTTCGAAAATATGTATGTGAGGCGCGTGTGTGTATGCTGTGTGATGACGAGACGATTGACCGCTCAACGTAAATATGTCACACGCGTATGTATATGAATATAATTATGTATTATTGAACAGCGAAACAAAAGGAATATTACAAGCAATGATAATTAGCAATTTGGTGGTGGTTTTTTCTTATTGTTATGCACTTTTACACAGTGGTAATCGACAATGAATAATTAATGTTTTAATATTGTAAATTAAATAGATTTTTCATTAATAAAATTATCCAAATTATGCACCAATAGTTATTTAAATTTTATTAATAATTTTACCACTGTTTACAAAAAGAAAAAAATGCACTTTTTTAACAAATTTTAACCACTTTTTCTACAGATTATTTTTGCAGCAAATATCTATTTTCACTTGTTTTCACTGTTCAATAATAATTTCTTTGAACCGAAAAAAAACGATGTGACGAAACAAAAGGAATGCGCGGTGCGTTGTAAAGCGACCGTTTGTTGTTGTAAAACGACAAATGTTGGACTTTGGACACTTCTTGTTTGTTTATTTTGATTATTATTATTATTATTTTTTTTTTTAGAAACGCGAGCTCACAAATAAATAAAAACACTGCACCTACCTGATGTTTTGTTTATGTTTATAGATGATGATGGGGATAGTGTTGATGAGGATGATTATGATGTTAACGATGATGATGAAGGCTGTGTAAATAAGAAACGAAATCCAATTAGAAAATTTCTCCAAAGGCTCGCGTCCGGTTTGAATGGACCAAAATGTAAATGCGCCGAAATTGCGCTCCGATAAATAAAGGAAAAAAAAAGAAACAAAAAACACAAATAGTTTTAGTTTCAAAATTCAAAGAAAGCAGTCGCTTTATTGATAAATAAAAATAATAGATAAGAAAGGGAAAATTAACAAACAGATTACCTGTGCTACGATCGATACGAAGATTAATAATGCCGAAAGGTGGCGTCGGCGCAAACCAATACTCGTTAGAAAACTGCTAGTTGACAGTTCAATGGTGTAACAATAAGGAGTAGGCAGTTTTCTAACGAGTATGCAAAATCAAACACAATGAAATTAGAACGACAAAAAAGAGGGGCATTTCCAAACAATGCAAATAAATTAATTTAATATTTCTTGCGTAAACAAAGATAAACTCATGCAAACATATGTTTGCAATTTTTTTCAAAATTTTTCAATTGACAACATCTTATTGTCAAAATGTATATTTATAAATCCATTGTAAATGCTCAAATCAGAGATGGAAACCCAGTTTTTATGCAGTGAAATTTGACAAGGTAAATTAAAGAAAATGCAAACATGGATATTCTTATTTGAAATGACTTTACCTTCTTTCTTTCTTATTATCAGGCATGTCAAAAACCGTATCGAAATGGTTTGAATTTCGTAATTCATAATCCTTCGTTTTTTTCAGCTTCGTCAGATTTCGAACGATTTGGTGAACTTTGAATTCAGTGTAAATATGGCAACATTATATATTGAATATGGTAACATTAGGGGAATGAATGAGAAATCAAAAGAAAACGCATGATAAGAAGTGTTTAAAAGAGTTTTTTGTGCAAAGAGAAAAATTGCAATTGATTGCTCAATTTCACTGATCACATATTTGTGGAAAGGGCCACCAACAGTTTTTGGATTTTCCATTTTATTGTGACACAATTTTTTTAACGTATACTGTCCAGTCTGACCCTGTCTTTTTCCACCATCGGGTGGTTCCGAGGAATTTTGTTTTTCGGTAAGCTGTGACCAACTTGTTTCGGCAACCACTCGATTACCTTTGATATAGCCCCTCTCTAGATGCTGGGGGCTCTCCGTAAAATCTATGACAATGGTTTCCAGTGCCGAATTCCTGTGCCTGCCCCTACAATATTAATTATTGATTAATTGATTAAACAGCACATCATTTCACAATACATATTTCACCTATTTTATGATAATTACATTTTTGTACAAAATTCTTTTTTTTGAGTTTTCCTTTAGTTTTTTCTCTTTGGTCCAGTTTATTATTTGTAATACCACATTGATTGGTATATCAGAATATATATATATATATATATATATATATATATATATATATATATATATATATATATATATATATATATATATATATGTATATATTGAGATATATGTGTTTGGTATATATATATATATATATATATATATATATATATATATATATATATACCAAACAATGTGGTATTACAAATAATAAACTGGATTTCGCAATACATATTTCACCTATTTTATGATAATTACATTTTTGTACAAAATTCTTTTTTTGAGTTTTCCTTTAGTTTTTTCTCTTTGGTCCAGTTTATTATTTGTAATACCACATTGTTTGGTATATATACATACATATATATATATATATATATATATATATATATATATATATATATATATATATATATATATATATATATATATATATATTGGGAATATGCTCATCCCAGTCTCGTTTGCCACTGTCCACCACTTTCCGTAGATGTTCTTCCAGGGTGCGATTGAATCTTTCCACCATGCCATCTGATTGTGGATGTAGGGGCGTCGTTCTGGTTTTCTTGATTCCGTAGGAGTCACACATTTCCTTGAAGATCGCTGATTCAAAATTCCTCCCTTGATCGGAATGAACCTCAGATGGAACACCATAGCGACAAATCCAATTTCTGCTGAACACATCCACAATTGTCCTGGCTTCTTGATTTGGGATAGCATAAACCTCTGGCCATTTACTGAAGTAATCCATGACCACTAAGACATACCGGTTCCCAGAGTCGCTTGTTGGGAACGGTCCAGCTACATCCATTGCGATTCTTTCAAAAGGGGCTCCTGAATTATACTGCTGCATGTAGCCTCGACTCTTCCGTGTTGGACCTTTAGCTCTTATGCACCTTTCACAATTGGCGATCCAGTCGGCAATGGATTTTTGACAGCCGACCCAGTAGAATCTCTGCTTTACCTTTTCAGCGGTTTTTGCTATGCCAAGATGTCCTCCACTTGGCCCATCGTGAAACTCCGACAAGACATCTCTTATTTTGGAGTCTGGGACGACGATCAAGTTCCGGTGAGATTTACCGTCCTCACTTTCCCATTTGCGATATAGGCAACCATCTATTATAAGTAGACTGTCCCACTGGGCCCAATAGGATTTTAAAAGAGGGCTTTCGGAGGTAATTTCTTTGCGACTAGGTCGTTTGCCCGTTTCTATGGCCGAAATTACTTTGCCCAGAATGGGATCTCTTCGTTGTTCCGTCGACCAATCTTCACCCGACTCAAATTGCAATAGTCGGACATCAACGATATTCTCTTTATTCTCAGCCTTTGAGCAGTGCTTGCATTCTACTTTGCATGGCCGACGAGACAGGGCATCAGCATTACCGTGTTTTCCGCCTTTTCTGTGCTCGATTCTGAAGTCATGACTCTGGAGCCTCTCGATCCAACGGGCTAGTTGACCTTCCGGATTCTTAAACTGCAGCAACCATTGGAGAGCAGCGTGGTCGGTCCTCAGCAGGAAATGCTGGCCATATAGGTATTTGTGGAAGTGTTTAACGCACTCAAGGACAGCAAGCAGCTCTCTCCTCGTCACACAGTAATTCCTCTCAGGTTTCGACAATGTCCGGCTGTAGTACCCAATGACTTTTTCCTGTCCGTCGATTTCCTGGGAAAGGACGCCACCGATGCCGCACGCACTTGCGTCTGTGTCCAGGACAAACTTGCCGCCAGGTATAGGGTATGCCAAAATGGGGGCTCTGCATAGCATGTCTTTGAGCTTTCTGACTGCCTCCTCCTGGTCGTTGCCCCACTGAAACCTCTGGCCTTTTTGCGTCAAACGGTGTAGACAGGCGGCGATGTTGGCAAAATTTTGGACAAATCGACGGTAGTATGTGCAGAGACCCAGAAAGTTTCGCAGCTCATGGAGATTTCGGGGCTGCGGCCAATCTCTGACGGCTTGAATTTTCTCCTTATCCGTCGATATGCCCTCCGGCGTCACGTGGTGCCCCAGGAACTTCACCTCTCGTTGGAAGAGACTGCACTTCTTTGGGTTCAGCTTGAGGCCTGAAGACGAAAGCTGCTGTAGAACATCCTTTAAGTTCTTGATGTGTTCGTCGAAGTTGCGTCCCATGACTATGATGTCATCCAGGTATATGAGGCACGACTTCCACTGCAGCCCTTTTAACACACGCTCCATCAGCCTTTCAAATGTAGCCGGGGCGTTGCAGAGTCCGAATGGCATGACATTGAACTGCCAGAGACCCCCATTTACGCCAAACGCTGTTTTCTCCTTATCTTTCTCGGCAATCTCTACTTGCCAGTACCCACTCTGCAGGTCGAGGGTGGAGAACCATGACGTCACGGCTAATGTGTCCAATGTGTCGTCGATTCTTGGGAGCGGATAGCTGTCTTTCTTGGTGACATCATTCAACTTTCTGTAGTCCACACAAAATCGGGTGCTTCAGTCTTTCTTCTTGACCAAGACCACTGGGGAGCACCATGGACTTGACGATGGTTCTATTACACCACTCTTTTCCATTTCACTTATCAGCTTCTGAACCTCGTCTCTTTTTGCCAGGGGAACACTTCTTGGAGGCTGTTTAATGGGTCTCGCGTCTGCTGTATTGATTTCATGCTTCACCACTGATGTTCTTCCTTGGTGCTCTTTTGTCAACGCAAAGGTAGAGGCATATTTCCATAATAGCTGCTTAGCCTTGTTCCTCTCGGAAGGTGATAATTGGTGTGTCCACTCTTTTATGTAGCCGTCGAGGTGCTTCTTCTCCATGGCAGCTGGCTTTTCGGTGCTAGTTTCCAAATTAACTACAGCTTCAGCTGGTGTGCATTGTCCAACATCGGAAAATTGGCAAATTTGCTCTTGCTTGTTTGACAGGTTCAAAACTCTAACAGGAATTAATCCGTCCTTGTTGCTTTTCACCAGGGCATTCGCTATTAGGATGTTACTGTTTCTGTTTTCTGCTGGTTCCACCACCCACAACTTCTCGGCTCCACAATCTCCATTCATTGGTACCCATATTATTGCTTCGGCACAGGGCGGTATTATCTCTGGATGGTCCGTGGTCAGACGTCTAATGGGTGTACTTTCATCGTAGCCCACGTTTAACGGAATTTCGACGTTAGACCAGGTCATCACACGTTCTTTCATATCCAGATTGATACCAAAGGCAATCATAAAATCTGCGCCTATTATCACTTCGTCTACGATATCGGCAATAGTTAGTCTCAGGGTAATCTTGCCGTGTACTGCCGCGGGCTCCCCCGTTGCTGTGCGCAGTCTGACTCCATTAAGTTGCGTTATTTTTCCCTTTACCAGATCTGATCTTACGATGGACTTTGATGCGCCAGTATCTAACGTCAGAACTCGCTTATCACCATTGATGTACCCAGTTGTTGTTAGGTTGTGACTTTCCTGTTGTACTATTGCTATGGAGATTGTGGGGCCATCGTCGATGGGAGCCAGTTCATGCCCCGCTGGACTGGCTCGATTTAGTTTAACTGTTGACTCATTGGTGGACTGTTGGGCCATTCTTCTACCATCTTTCGTTGGAGGTGGTGACGATGACCTGGATCGTTTGCGCTTAGCTCTGCATTCGCGCGCAATATGACCTGCTTTATCGCAGTTGTAGCATCTAACCCTGGGCTTAGTCATCCCAACTAACTTTGTCTCTTCTATTACCCGCCTCATGGCGTCTTCGATCGAGTTAACGAGAGATTTGGGTTCGCAACCTTCGGTCTCCAGTTGGCGAATCTTGTGGGTCTGGGGCTTAACAACTATTCTTGCCGTCTCTTGGGCAAGGGTAAACGACACAGTTTCGGAAAATGATGCTTTTGGTGACGCATATGTTGCATACTTAATCTCAGGGTCACGTATGCCATTCACAAAGGTTTCGATTTTCATACGGTCCAGCAATGGGTGATCCTCTCCTGGATACGTCATTAGCACCAAACGTTCCACCTCAGCTGCAAAGTCTTGTAACGTCTCGTTTGCCCTCTGTACTCTTCCCCTTAATTCCATAAGGTAGATGTTTCGTTTATGTTCGCCACCGTACTTACGTTCCAGTGCAGCAATAACATCTTCATAGTTGTTTCTAGAAGCGACAGGAATACTCTGTATAACATCAGCAGCACTGCCCTTCAATGCCAGAAGTAGTGCAACCGCTTTGTCGCTGTCGTTCCACGAATTTCTAGAAGCCACTGTCTCGAACTGTAACTTGAAAACATTGAATGACGTAGAGCCGTCGAATACAGGAGGTTTGATTTTTAGTGTGTTATCAGGAACTCGCACCGGACCACCTTTGATTTCCAGTTCCGAAATTTTCTTCTCCAGATTTGTAACCCTATGGTCGTGGGACAGAAATTTCTCGTCAACCGACTGCACTTTCTTATCCAACTCTTTAATTTGGACCTCCACGGTTTCCACTCTCCTTCCAATAACTTCTGTAATGTACTCGAGTTTCTCGTTCGTTATTCTCGAATTTTCTTCGAACCTTCTGAAATTTTCCTCAAACATTTTGGCTAGCATTTCTCTGAAATCGTCACCCCTGGCAGCTACTGACGAGACTTCCCCACCGTTGGAGTCGCCCATTTCCGATAAATCCACTTCATCCTTACTGTCAAACTCATATGTATCGATGTTCATACCACGGCGCTCGAACTCATCCAACAGACGTTTTTGTAGTTCAGCCTTGTTGCCAGTAGAAGACAATTCCAATTTATTAAGTTCCTTCTTCAAGTCTTCCACTCGTAGATCCTTAAACTTCATCGTAGTATTATCGTAATCTCACTTCCGACACCAATTGTTACGTTCTTGGATTTTACTTAATCCCGTGTACACGTTGTTTTATTTCCCAATACAGCTCGTACCAAATAAAACGCGGGTTCTTTCGGATTACGATTACTACAATGATTTTATTCACACAACTTTACTTTGCACTTTACTTTACTCGACGGTTTCAATTCGCGATCTGATTCACAACTGACTAACTGCCTTTCCATTTCCCCTATTTATATGAGCCTCGCCTGTCGCTACAGAAGTTTCTAGACGATCTGGTAACGCCTAGATTACGAACAATCTACCAATGCAACGAACACATACAAACTTACATTGAGTGAACAATAACAACAACACATACACAGGCGAGGGGGTAACAAAGAAAGAGGAATTAAGCGATCATCAATGATGACGTTTAACGTCAGCTGACATTGTACGTCAGCAACAAAATAGAAAATGAAAGAGGAAATGGAAGGATGTAGAAAAATCTATACAGTAGTTGTTGTTGTGAAGTTATTCAAATAAACTGCGTAGTAGAAATTTACGTTACAATTCAAATTATATATATATATATATATATATATATATATATATATATATATATATATATATATATATATATATATACCAAACAATGTGGTATTACAAATAATAAACTGGACCAAAGAGAAAAAACTAAAGGAAAACTCAAAAAAAGAATTTTGTACAAAAATGTAATTATCATAAAATAGGTGAAATATGTATTGTGAAATGATGTGCTGTTTAATCAATTAATCAATAATTAATATTGTAGGGGCAGGCACAGGCACTGGAAATCATTGTCATAGATTTTATGGAGAGCCGCTAGCATTTACAGAGGGGCTATATCAAAGGTAATCGAGTGGTTGCCGAAACAAGTTGGTCACAGCTTACCGAAAAACAAAATTCCTCGGAACCACCCGATGGTGGAAAAAGACAAGGTCAGACTGGACAGTTTTCGTTAAAAAAATTGTGTCACAATAAAATGGAAAATCCAAAAACTGTTGGTGGCCCTTTCCACAAATGTGTGATCAGTGAAATTGAGCAATCAATTGCAATTTTTCTTTTTGCACAAAAAACTCTTTTAAACACTTCTTATCATGCGTTTTCTTTTGATTTCTCATTCATTCCCCTAATGTTACCATATTCAATATATAATGTTTCCATATTTACACTGAATTCAAAGTTCACCAAATCGTTCGAATTCTGACGAAGCTGAAAAAAACGAAGGATTATGAATTACGAAATTCAAACCATTTCGATACGGTTTTTGACATGCCTGATAATAAGAAAGAAAGAAGGTAAAGTCATTTCAAATAAGAATATCCATGTTTGCATTTTCTTTAATTTACCTTGTCAAATTTCACTGCATGAAAACTGGGTTTCCATCTCTGATTTGAGCATTTACAATGGATTTATAAATATACCTTTTGACAATAAGATGTTGTCAATTGAAAAATTTTGAAAAAAATTGCAAACATATGTTTGCATGAGTTTACCTTCTTGATTCTACCTGGTATATATAAAAAATAAGAAAACCTATGAATTGCCATTTTTGGCAAAGAATATAGTCGTAGGCACTGTAAAAAAATTAGTAATTCTCAAATTGATCAGTACATTGTCCTCTACCAAAATGTGTCGATGCTGCAATAGGAAGTGTTTGATATGTTGTGTTTTAGTTTAGGTATTTTATATTTTTTTGAATGTTGAATATTGAATGCCTTTTGAAATGAATGCATGGTGTTACCTGATTATCGGTATATAAATGTAGAGGCACGAATATAAAGCTATGTATTGTATTTGCTTCTTGTTTCGGCAACCACTCGATTACCTTTGATATAGCCCCTCTCTAGATGCTGGGGGCTCTCCGTAAAATCCGTAATACCACATTGTTTGGTATATGAGAATATATATATATATATATATATATATATATATATATATATATATATATATATATATATATATATATATATATATATATATATATATATATATATATGTTTAGTTTTGTAGAAACTGTACATGTTGTAAAAATAGTTTGTGTGTTGAATGTTCTTCTTTAAATTCTATTCTCATTATGTAAATTAGTTAAATAAAGAAAACACTTAAGATGCATGTGTTTTCCATATGCTAGGTTTATGGTCGGTAATAAATAATGTAATAAATGTCACGGCCATAAATAGAAGAAAAGAAAGAGTCGATCACAAATTAGGTACGTTTCGTTTTCTCCCGCAACGTATTGTGTGCGTTAATGCACAGCGTGCATTAGTAAATAAAATGCATGTGTTAATGTATTAGATGTAAGCTTTAGTGTTAAGAATTTGTTGTAAATAAATTGAGTTCCCTTCCAGCCACGGAACGAGAAAGATCATCTCGCGGCGTTTCTTTTTCTTTCGTCAGTTACATCGCTTTGTGATGAGGTTAGGAGTCGACCTCATCATTTGGTGACCCCGACGTGATAGTATCGCGTGTAGTTAGTGAAGTTATTCGATAGGCTATATTTTCAGTGTCCGAGAAAATATTAGTTTATGCGAAATAAATGACGAGATAGGCGCGCATTTCGTAGTAGTGAAGTGTGTTAGGCTTATTTGTTGTAGCGACGTAAAAGGTGCACTGTTGAAGCAAAGATAGTGTTAGATCTTTTAGTTGTGTAAAAGGAGACATGATAGGTAGCAGTGAAAGATTCTGTCGATCTATCTCTCCATATACTAACGCAATAGACGTGTAGAAAAAAGTGATTAGTTTATTCGTTTATTTTTTGAGTGCACATATATTTCGTCAATATGAATTTTGTAGACTTCATTCAACATCAAAGGATGTTGGGCGAGTATATTGTGTCACTTTATTTAGAAATGGAAAAAATTGCTCTGTGTGGTGTAACTGAGGAAGCTAGGGAAAAATGTACCAAATTAGGTAGTTCCTTTACAGAAGCAAGAAAGGAATATTTAGATAACGAGAGGGAACTCCGTCGTATGAAAAAATTTACATACTCGAATTACATAGACGCCTTGGGAGTGTGCTATGCGATTAAAAATATCGAGAGAGCTCTAAACGGCATAGGTGTTTTTGTGCCCATAGAAATACCACGTTTAGATATCGATTATTTAGCTGAGGTGAACAGCTTAAGTTCATCGGAACAGTGTGGGAAAAATGCCTTACTGTTCCATTCACAGCCGCCAGACATTGGGATAACGGTTAAACTTATCGATGCTTTATTTGATTTTTGGGAGGAGATTAGAAGATGTTATTAGAAAACATCGATAGAAAATTTCAAACATTATCGTCACAATACGTGCGGTATTTGGATGTAGTTGGAAAACAGGATGACTACACAAGTCATTACCATTTTCTTAGAATTTGTTACCGCATAGTGAGAAGTGGGAACATTTCAAGAATAGCACCTAAAAAGGTGA